GCCTTTCTTCTTCTCTCTGCTGCTCTAATGACATGATTTTCATGTTCTACTTCCCATTAAACTCTTACTTTTCTTTGACCGATGGATATGTCCGAGTGAATAGTTCATTATTCCCTTTCACTCTTGTTTTCGGCCAGTTATTTTTTCACCGGTTTCCGCTAAACTTTCCTTTTTCAAGCTCAAGTCTTGCTTTTTGATCGCACATTCTATCTCACCTTAATGTAATTGTAATTACTAGACATCGGCAAAGACCGACTTTTCGATGTATTAAAATGTTTCGAAGTTTGTTTGTGACTCGTTACGCCAGAAAGATGGCTGAATCGTTTCTACCATGGTCTTCGTAATTACTTTGCATTTCTTGCTCTCCGGAACGAGACCAGATTCGAGATTCAAGCATTGTTCGTGGCACGGGAATTACAATGCTTTCGCCACTTTCGGTTTTCACGACAATTGTGATTTAATGATAGTGACTTTCATTCTCGCTCGATTACAGCTTCTCTTTCCTGCGAAGACTTGTAATTTCGGTGTTGTATATTACAGATGGAATTAGAATTCCACGGTTGGCTGGCCAAGTGTAAAAGAAGAATCAAGTGTCCGTAGAATTGGCACGCCCGGCCCCGTAGCCCGTAGATCGCGGAACTCTGTTCGTAATTTCGGGAGTTTCAGCGATTCGTAGCTTTCTTTGAACAAACACGTACAGTTAAGGAACGAACAGTTAAATTTCCTCCAAGTGTTATTAGTTTACCGTTCGATCTTGTCGCTCTTTAATGGAAATCGACGATCGATGATGATAATAAAAAGAAACAGGAGTGGGTACACGAGCGTATCATCAGCCGGCCATTAGAATCATTTCTCGTTGATTCTAGCCACTTCTCAACACCGTTTATTATTTATTGTTCCGCAAAACTGACTCGAATTATTCTTCGGCGTTGCTTGGACTGCGCCGCACCACGTGCATATAGGTACATATAAGTAAGCGTATCACTGTAAACCAGATTCAAGATCAGGTTCAACAAGTTTGCTGGGAACATCAAAGTGGAATATAAATCTTGCTGCTTTCCACTTACTTTCTTGAAGGCATTTGCAACGATTTCCGATATACACACGCCGCGCCGGCATCGAGCTGCCGATCGACAGCGAATCGCTGCGAATACGAAACGAACGTCGAATCGATCCTTTCGCTCGTCAATTCCGGCTTCGCGGGAAGAATATTCGAAAAGACACGAGAAAGACACGAGACAGACTTGATACCAGAGAGGAGTGTTCGGTTTTCCGCGTGGTCCGGCTAGGACCGACGGGACTGAAATCTCACGATCGATCTTTGAAGATCGAAAAGAAAGAAAAAAGAACACCTACGGACCGCACCCTGAACAAGTGGCCTGGGGACACCGGGACACGGAAAGTCCGTTTGTTTCGCGTCGTTGCGCCCTTATCGATTCGAAGCCCGTTACTGGGTAAAACCGGCGCCTTTGCAGAATCGATGTTGACACGCGTGGACCACCGTCTGCTGGAAGAGGGACGCTCGTTTTGATTTCGTTGATCGTATGTATTTCAAGACGACGTTAATTTTGATCTAGTGCATATCGAAAGCTGTTGTTGGTTCTGCAATGGTCCAAGTATTTTGCTCACCAGTACGGCACGATATCGATTCTCCTGTGATAAAATGCGACGGCTTTCCGGCAAAAAGTCAGGTAACCGATGGATTTTTCGATTTGCGAGCGAGGCGGACGCGTTCGATCGTTGGCGCTTTCTAGACGCTCGAAACACTCGAGGCCGTTCGTTCTCGATCGAACGGCTAGGCTCCGTACACATGAGCCGAACGACCGCGTAAAAAGTTGTTTGAAAAGGGCAATTGATCGTGAAAGGGTGGCAAAAAGTGTGCCAGGAATACAAGACCTGCGGTATTGTCTCCACGAAGGTCGGCGCGACGCGGAAGGATCTATCTCCGGCGTTATTTGCCTTCGTCGTTCGATAGTTTCTTTTGAGTCGCTCTGTACGACGACGCGCTGTGCACGCTGGCATTGAGCGGTAGCCGTAGTAGAATAGAGCAACTAACCAACTAACCACGAGACGTCAGTAGGACAGTGAAAGGCGACCTAGACCAAGTATCTCCGCTGTAACGCCGCTGTTTTCGTGTACGTACTAGTGCTTACACGTCTCCTCTGCTCTGTATGTATACGGCTCGTCCGTGTTCCCCAGCCGTTCTTTCAGCCGGGCAGGTCGATCTTTCTGTGCCGCGATCGCGATCATACAGATTCTTTACGCGATCGCAAGCTTTCCGATTCGATGCGCAAACCTCTCGAATCGAGAGAGTATACTTTTCGATGCCAATGAGAAAAGGAGCTCCCAAGTTTTACATGTCTTCTTGGAGAAGTGCGCGCACGTGGGCTCTCCGCGCGACGACTGTTACGAGTGTATTTGAGTCCCCATTCAAGCCTACGGCGCAACATACCACGACAATTTATTACCGGAAATTTCTTTTCTCGTTGCATCATAGCCGGTTTCACGGGAGTCTATGAGATTCCGAACGAAAACACACAATGCTCGTGGAAATGGTCCTAATTGGCCGCCGCCGCCGCCGCCACGCTATATTTCTCAGATTTCGTGTGCTACAAGGGTTTCTTAACATTGTAATATCGTTGCCGCCGCCGTTGCCTGTATCGCTGGAACTCGAAGAAATCTATTTCACGGCTCTGAACGTGAAAAATATACATACCTATATACATATACCTACGTACGTACCTATCTACTTACCGTTATTCGATTTTTTCGACGAGGAGATCCGCGACGAAGTATGGCGAGGGTATCGTGAAATACCCCTCATGAATATGCACGCGACGATTTCTTGCAAAATATTCGAACGGCAAAACGAACGAAGAACGATTTAATGGATGATTTCGAGACGTGTGATTCATCGACGTGGCATCCGTGGCCCGACGACGGAATCGCGGATCGCGAACCCGCGGTACCAACAGCAGCAAAAGATTTTCACTTTAGCGGGCAAGTTGTCCGAAAAGGATTTACGATAGGTAAAAAGGAGATCGCTCTTCTCCCCCTCCCGGGCCCTTTCGATTTCATTCCGATTGCAGCCTCGATACGCGTGTGTCGACATTGTCCTCCTTAACCGGCGAAAGTTCCCAGCTAATTGAACTTCTTAATCTCCGATCCGTTCTCGCCGGTGATTGCCCCTGGGGAATCTCATTATTCTCGGGACTACGTATTATCGAAGTCTTTCTCGGAATTCGATTATTCGATTATAACTATCGTCAAATGGACAAAACACCGTTTTTCGGGGACGATCCATCGTTTGCCTTTCGATCGGTATACCTTATGGCAGAGATCTATAGGAAATTTTCTTTTTTCTTTTTTCTTTTTTCTTTTTTTTTCGAGGAGAATCACTGTGAATTCCGTTGAACGCGTACGGGGGCTCCGACTATATGTATAAATTGATTCGGAGGAGGTTAAATACGCGCGATATATTGCAACACATACATATGTACACCTATATGCTGCACGGCCGTTAAACATTAACGGGTCAATGGCGCACTGAAACGACACTCCTCCGTAAACACATTCGTATTCTTAGACTGGTGTTTCACGGTTCAGCTATCCTACACAGCCAATTAACGTTCAAATAAAATCTCGGTCTGTTCACCGTTCTTCTCGAGTTTATTATCCAACGCGGGTCCGTCCGACGGGAAGTTTCTCGGGGCAGTATCCCCCTTGCATCGATGGAGTGTTAAGGTTTTTAAAAATGCGTCTTTGTATCTTTAGTCACTGCATTCCGGTTAGGTATTGGAGTAGTTTTGCGCGTGACAAAGACGACGCGTTGCATCGGCGAAGAACTCCTATGTTCCAGAACATATCGAGTTCAGTTGTTGCTCTTGTTTCGTTTCGCCATCGGTCCGAGTGAATCTGTAAAAACTGAATCGACGGGATTGAAAATGACGTCGCGAGAATCGGGAGGGAATACTTGTCGGACACCCGTTGTGTGGTTCGAGGCGCGTTCTAGTCCGCGTACCAACTCCTACTCATTGTCAGTGAAAACCGCATCGGTAGGATAGCCGGTGCAATGGAACGCGAGGGAAATGAGGAAAGTCGGGCACGGATGAAAGCGAGAGGATACCACCAGCTACAGCTACAGGCCGTGTTTCAGTTAAACCGCGCGTTTCCTCTCTGTCAATCACATGGAGAAAGGCGTGTACGCGCGTGATCAATCGCAAATGCTTTCGGTTTCGTGTTCCGCTCGTTTCTAGTCCCGATATAAACAGTCCATGCCGTGAAGTTTTTTTGAAAACTGTAGCGCATAGAACTGACAACGATAGCGTCTCCTCGGAGTCTGCGTCGACTTCTGTGAATATTCGAGGAAGATGGAGTGGTTGTCGGAGATTGTCGGAGATTGAACGAGGTTGTGAAAGTTCATTTGCCGTGGAACAAAGCCAATCGTGATTTCCAAGAAACACAAGACGAAGAAGACTCGAGGCATTGTCGTTATATTATAAATAATACCGTGACGCGCATAAATTGGACATTTAAAAAGAAAAAGTGCATCTCGGAGGCGTTGAACGCGAACGAATGATAAATCACGGTTGTAGTTTTTACGATTTATCTGCGAGCACGTTGCGACTGCTGTTTTCTGCATTAAAGACCAAATACTGAACCGGTTAATATTGAAAATTTCTGCTGTAATGCGAACAACAAGAAACACAGACACCTACCTATCGATTCGACCGTTTACGCAAACACAGAACCGTCGCGTCGTGCGTCGCGTTAGACAGGATCGATTCGATGTAGTTTCATCGGTACCTACTTTCGAAATTTGACCTTCTTGCAAACATCGAAAGTTGGTGTAGAGGTTAATTCCGGAATTGGTAACTTACACTGTGCCTCCCGTTGCGCGACGATGAAATCCTGAGGCTAGTCGATACCGGGGGGTTTATGCCAGTACACCGATGTTCCCGTCGAAGAATTGTAACGAGTTTCTATCGGTTAAATTTCAGGCTGAGCATTCGAGATCCAACCGTCTGAGCGGCCGCGGGGACTCTCCTACGAGGAAGAATCCTGGTTAGAGGGTGCGTCAGGTCGAGAGGATCAGAAACGAGAAGCAACGGAGCGACAAACCGAGAGAATCAAGACAGAGGACAAAGGGAGAGAGAGGGAGTGTCGCTTTATATCTTGGAAGGATATCATGGCGGGTGAGGACACGCAGATCCTAGCGAACGGAAACGTCGAGGCGCTCACGATAATCCCACCAAAGATGGCGAACGGGAACGGATTGATATGCGGTAAACAGCACAACAATAACGGTTCGATACCGAACGGGAAGCTGCACGAGATGGTTGGGACGGAAAACGGGAAGCTGATCGTGTCCGACGAGAAATCGAGTAGCCTGCACACGGAGTTCGATGACGCGGACGTATCTTGCGGCTGGGGTCCGTGCAGGCCGCACTGGCTTCAGTATTTTGCCACGAAGCAGGCCTTCTTGGTCACCTTCTGCATCACTTGGGTCAGTATCGGAGCACGTTGCTTTCGACTCGAACACACGATAGAAAAATCTTGAGCTGGTCGCGAGGATCGATTCTACCGCGCGTATCGTGATTACAGGTTCTTCAGGGAATGTACTTCACGTACTTCGTCTCGGTGATCACGACGATCGAGAAGCTCTTCCAGATCCAATCGAAGACCACCGGTATCATAATGTCGGCAACGGAGATCGGCCAGATCGGTTCGTCTCTTCTGCTCACGTACTACGGGGGCCAAGGTCATCGGCCTAAGTGGATCGCTTGGGGCATGATCCTGTTCGCGGTGAGCTCGTTCACCTGCTCGATGCCCCATTTCATCTTCGGCGAACAGCTGATCCATCAGAACGAGATGTTGGTGAGTGGTGTGGGACCGAGGGGCGAAGGAGGAGGGCGGAACAGTACCGATCCGATACCCGCGAACCTCTGCAGGTTGCAGGAACGACCGGAGAACATGACGCTCGACGAGTAAGTAATAACCTCGCGTACCTATACATGTACAGTACATACATACATACATACATACATACATACATACATACATACATACGTACGTAAACTCGTTGGTTTCGCGGTGAAAAGGTTGTGGATCTCCTCGACGACACCGGCACGGAGCGACATGGTCGACTACTGCGAGGGCGATTTCAAGGCGGAGCAGATGATACAGAGTAAAATAAAGACGGTGGTTTTGGCGATATTTTTCGTATCGTTGTTGGGTGTTGGCATGGGTCAGACGGCGGTCTATACCTTTCCTTACATCGACGACAACGTAGCCAGCAGGGAAAGCCCACTGTACTTTGGTAAGCTTTTTTTTCGCATAGCGGTCCGAGATGTCGTCTGTCGTCTGTCGTCTCGCCTGCCTCTCGTACACGGACGCGATACACCAACACGGTAAATGTCTTTGTTGTAGCAATCACTATCGGCGTGAGGATCCTCGGCCCGGCTCTAGGGTTCATTCTGGGTTCCCTGTGCACGATGATTTACGCAGACTTGTCGGTGAATCCGCAAATCACGCCGACAGACCCGCGATGGGTCGGGGCATGGTGGCTCGGTAAGTTGAATTTCTACCGCCTCTCGTCCGAGAGAGAATCTTCCTTCGCTTGGTTGGAGGTCGGTGATCTCTTTCCAAAGGATTCTCCGCGCAGATTTCGCTAATTCGCTGTACAAATTTTCGGCATCGTTCCGTGCAGTGTCTGAAAAAAGCGCATCCGTTGCGTTCGATGTTTCAGGTCTGGTGCTAATATCCGCTATGCTGATGCTGGTCAGCATAGGAATGTTCGCGTTTCCGACGAGGTTGCCCGCGAGCAGAACGCCGCCGAAACGATCGGACTCGAAAAAGCCCAGCCTCAGAGGTAAGTCCTGATTTATCACAGCGACGCGAATCCGTTCGTCAGAGGGAGGCCGATGTTTAAGCCGCGCGGCATCGGATCAGAGGGGGTTTAATTCGATTTTATGGCTCCCCGAATGTCTCGTGGTTGGCTCGGGGAAGATTCAACGAGATAGTTGAGACTATCGTACAAAGTGTTGCATTAACCGTGGCAGATTTTTCGTTACATGTACGATAGTCGAAAGCGATTGTTCGCGAACTCCGTCGAGAACAGCTGCGAAAGTGTGCTTTTTTGTATTCGTGTACCTGTCGATGAACATCGATCGCGGTTCTGAATCGCGAGCACAGAACCGGTGACGAATGTCGGGAAATCGACGCGCAGAGCGCGGAGTTGCGAGGCGACGAAATACGGTGTGTATTTACGTTCGGTTACGTCGCGCTAGCATGTATTATGTCGGCCGAGGTGCACGAGACAGCTGAGATAAGTCTCTCTCCCCACGAGGAACGGATCCCCGTGCAGAAGAACACGACCGTATATGCACGGAGAAATGCACGCGCGCGTGCCTACCGAGCGCTATGCACGACGCATGGCCGTGAACTTGCCCCACCTAGTGCACCAGTCGGTCAGTCATCATTATTAACGCACGCACACACACGGGGCCCCGCGCGTCCGCACAGACACGCCGATCTTTACTCCTACGTGCACACGCCACACCGGAGAGACCAGAAATCCGGATGCGTTTCGCCCCTTGCCTTACCATACCAATCCCCCTTCCCTTCCCTTCCCTTCCCTTCCCTTCTTAATGTCTTTCTCTCCCGTACCTTGTTGCGAAAATTTTCACAAACGCTCTCTCTCGCACTTCTTCTTCTTCTTCTTCTTCTTCTTCTTCTTCCTCTCGACCCTCGACAAAGCTGGACATTATGTCTGTAATATACATCATTCCAGAAAGGTGCTTCAAAAATGGAACACCAAATGTTCGTCGATACGTTTCGAAAACGTCGTTTCGTTGACTAAGAAAAAGTCGACTTCCGCCAGGAACGAGAAAATTATAGGGTCGAGTATCGTTTGATTTCAATATTGCATCGCGTTATCGAAATTAGAGTGCCGCGGCGTTGTTCAGAAGTGGCTCGTCGCGAAAGGCCACCCTGTATACATATATGTATATGTATGCGGTTGCCGCGGGGTTGTCGCGATAATACACGGAGCGCAATGTTGGTCACGTTTGTCTACTCATGGTCTGCAGGACGTCTCTATGCGGGGTTGCCACGATTCTTGCTTACTCTTCCAGGAAGCCTAGAGCAGTCCTAGGCATCCTTAATGCTAGTTTCCACCGAGGCCGAGGATTTCTCGAACGGAAACCTTGCATGGATGCAATCACCGCCGCGGCGTTCAACGTGTTTCTTTGCGTTCCTCGGCGTGCTCTTGCTTCTCGAATCCCCTTCCTTCTCTTGTCCAAATCTGCTTTTTCTTATGATCATTTTGACATCGACGATGGTTCGTCCAATCGACCGAAACACGGACAGTTCTTCCGTCATTCGTTACTTGTCGTTTTTCCGGCTTTTATTTACCGAAATGTTTCTTCGATCGGAACTGGTTGTTTTTGCCGAAGATTCTGCAAAAACAAGGAAAATCGAAAGAAAACAAAAATCTTCGCATAGAGAGGAAAGCCAGTTATCATTGCGAACGAGCAGCAAGGACTTTTAACGCGTTGTAGGTTGTAGCCAAACATCGATACTCGTTCTCCTTACGCGCCGCCAGGTTTCGTTCTTTCGTTCTCTTTTTTCTCGTGCGGTGATGGCCGGTAGACACTCCGAACACCGGGGTTTCCACTGTTCCGTCGAAAAGGGAGCAGAATAAAACCCGATCTTGTCGACTAATTAGCTGGTCGTTCATACTCGAGTTCATAAATATTGCGGATCGAGTTTTAGAGGCACGAAGAGAAAATGCAGAGCCACGAGGCGCAGAGGCGGGACGAGCGATTCGCGTGTTCGCGAAATCGCGAATAATACGGTAGAATACGGCTAATAAATAAGAGTTCGACGCGATGTAAATCGCGGGACTGCTGGGACTGGGACTGGGACTGGGACTGGGACTGGGAGCGGCTGGGACGGATTGCGCGGATCGGATCGGATCGGAGCGGAGCGGGACGCGTTGTTCGCGCACCGACGACTACAGTACTACACCTCGGCTTCTCTCTACCTGTTGCAGACTTCCCTAATGCGGTGCAGAGGCTGTTGAAGAACGACATTCTTATGTTCCGCACGGCCAGCAGCGTACTGCACATCCTACCGATCGCCGGCCTCTACACCTTCCTGCCAAAGTACCTCGAGAGCCAATTTCGCTTGCCGGCTCATCATGCGAACATGATCTCAGGTAATTTTCGCTTTTCGCGAATCGACACGCGAGGCGAATCGTTCACCGATGTCGAAAAAGCTCTCGACGAAGGTGATTATGTACGATGTCCGTGGTTGTTTCTCTTAATCGGTTGTACGGTGAATTTTCATTCCATTTCAATCCATTCCCGTTTGTTTTCTTTCACTTTTTCGCAGGTGTCGGTGGTATTTTAGTGATGGGTCTGGGTATTATAATTAGCGGAGTGTTCATTTTGAGGGCAAAACCGAACGCCAGGTTTGTCGCAGCCTGGATCGCGTTCACGGCGGTTGTCTATGCGATCGGCATGGGTGTGCTGATGTTCATCGGCTGCCCGATGGACGATTTCGCCGGTCTGGTTTCGCATTCCAATGGGTAAGAGAGCTCTGACTACCTTCCCCTTCGTGTCTCCTATTTTCCACGATTTTTCGATTAACAGGTCACCCCTTGGAACTATTTACCTTCGATAGCGTTTCCTTTCTGTATGTTCTATTTTCCATACATCCCATTTTCCATACATTTTCTTCAAATGTGAAAGTTAATATTCGAAAATTAGTTATTACGCCCGTGATTCTAATAATAGATTGCTGTCACACTCGTGGTCCAATGATTTTGGAGTTCTGTTTTTCATTGGAATTTTATTGTTCCCTGCAGATTGTCGAACTTCGAGCCAACCTGCGACGTTAGCTGTGACTGTGACAGAAACAAATTCAGTCCGATTTGCGGTGCCGACGGTCAGACCTATTTTTCCGCGTGTCACGCCGGTTGCTCCAACTACACTATAGTCGACGGCAAAGTAGATTCGGTGAGTACAATACAGAATAGAGATGGTCGCGATTGTATTTCGATGCGTGAACACTTTCGATGAATTCGGAAGTCGAATTCGTGAGACTGCTGCATGTTTCTGAACTGGGATATCCGGAATATCTTTGAAGATCATCGCATTGGTTTCAAGAGGAATTAAGTAGCCGCGATACTGAAACGAATCGCTGCTCACCATGAATCTCGTCTATTTGGTGTATTCTCTTCCGATTGTGCGCACCGAATAACGTCATCTCGCGCCGGGACACAGGTATTGACATACGAGTATAGTGGATTTCAAGTGCTGCCGCGGTGATAATTGTCGATGACAGTATGTAACATGTAACTAGGACAGAAATGTGTTCACCGCTGTACCATTTATGGTTGAAATCGAGTTATTCGCGCTTATGGAACACAATGATTCGTCGATTGCGTAACGCCGCGAGTCATCGCTTTCGCAATTGAACGCGACTGGTTGGTGGTTATGTCGGAAACGTTTAATTTCTAGTTGTTCGAATTTTCGTTCGGAAATTACAAGCGGAGTTTGTTACGTTGTTCCGCGCTCGGATTCCATCGAGACACTTTAATAAGATGTCGCACGCTCGGTATTCGTGTCCACGCAAAACCATGGATGGCAGCGTGGGTACCACCGTCATTCCGACTGTCTTAATAATCTCGGTTTTCGCTGCTTACAGTTTAACAACTGCCAGTGTATCGGGCCGAACCTAACGACACCGGGAACAACGAGCACGGCGATGATTGGTTACTGCGAACTCCAGTGCAGTAACTTTTGGGTTTACATGGTACTTTTCTCGGTGTTCGTTTTCATCCACTCGACCAGCGAGGTGGGCTCGATGCTGTTGATTCTACGGTGCGTGGATCCACGAGACAAGGCGATGGCTTTGGGTCTCATACAGTTCGCCATCGGCCTGTTCGGTAATTATCTTTGGCTGGTCCATCTAATTGGATCGTGTTGTTTCTGTCGAGCGGCAGATGAGCGCCGCGATTATTACAAGGAAATTAACCGAGTTCGCGGTCGACGCAGTAGTTAGCACTCTTACCGAGGCTGCGGTGTGTTCATCCGTGCATCCTTTGATTCCAGGTAACGTCCCGTGTCCTATCGTTTATGGTGCTGTAGTGGACTCTGCTTGTCTCGTATGGGAGTACGCTTGCGGCGAGCGAGGTGCTTGCTGGCTCTACGACTCAAACGTTTTCAGAATGTTCTATCACGGTACGTGCGCGTTTCGAAATGTAGCCTTTGCGATCGTTTGTTCGTTCGAGGAATACGATTGTACATGTTTGGTGTTGCGTTCGATAGGTACAACCGGCGGCATCCTAATTCTGGCGTTCGTGGTGGACATAGTGGTCTGGTATAAAGCCGGAAGCATCAATTTCGTGGAGGAGCAGGAAGCAGAGGAGGGTACCGTAGAGGAGATGGCCACCCTGAAGTCTCAGGATGCGCAAGCCGTCGAGAACGACTATTTGTGAAGGGCGTCGGCCGATTGTTACGGTATCCCGAAAATCAGGCCTGAATTTAGCGTCGTAAGCCGGGACGAAGCGACGCGAGGTGTTCCTAACCGACGAAGATTCGGTGCCAGTAGTAACGCCGGATGGCGGATCGGTGGTCGACGTTGTGTTCCTCGAGCCCGTGGGCTACACGAGCTCCATGGTCTTCATGGGAATCGTGGGCTCCGTGGGCTCCGTGGGCTTCGTGGGCTTTGTGGGTTCCGTGGACTCCGTTCGAGCGGACCGAGCGTCATCCAACGACAAATGTCTCGATTTTAAATGGTGCTTGCGTCGATCGCGTTTCGCAGTCCGACAGGGAACCTAGAAGCGGGAAGTGTAGAGGGTCGCGTCGCGAATCGACTATCGAAGGTGGCAGTCCTAGACTGGGCTGGGATACGCCCGTAGTTTCCAAAGAGGCTGTGTCGTCGTCGTCGTCGTCGTCGTCGTTGTCGTCGTTAACGTGGAACATGAGCGCGAACGGAATCACGCGAGAACGAAGAGAGAAGAAAGGGAGAGGGGTGGTCGATCGGCTGGGGAACCGGAGATGCACGCGGCCGCCGTATCGATGACCCCTGGAGAAATCGACTGGCCGGCAACGCGTACAAATGTTGCCCAACAATCGATGGAAGTACGTGTCGTTCGGAAAACGTCGGAACAGGAGGTATCGGATATAGTATACACGAGTCAGATCCTAGAAGCGCGTCCATCGGTCCCCGGATCTTTACCCCCCGGAGCGAACTCGTCGATCATTCCATTCGACCAGTCAGTCATTAGGATTCACTCATCCAGTTTCTTCGTGGACGAAGACGGAGAAGGAAGAGGTCGTGTGTGTACAGTGCGCGTGGACGAGGTGTATGCGCTGGACTCTAGGTATGGTTTCCATAGCATCGTATCGTACGGTTACTTGGATTGTCTGCTCGAAACGTACGTTTTTTTCTCTTTCATTTGAGCGGCGGAGGTGTGGGGGCAGCAAAATTCTTCACGACATGTCAAAACTTTTTACAGTTTTACGATATCTCGGTAGAGTCATGATGCGTCGCTGTTTCCTATTCTGCGTATTCTAATTTCTCTCGATCCCCCGAGAACTGGGAAAGGTCGAATCGATAAATTGAGACGTTCGTTTCGAGTCGACGAAACGAACGTCTCAATTCATCGATTCGACCTTTTCCAGTTCTCGGCCTAGTCTTCAACAAGTTCTCGGCTGTCTTTGATTTTCTAGCTGAAACGACACGGTCGATATCGGGGACAAACGGTTTACGATGTATGCATGTATGAGGCTGACATTTATTTCGAACGAAATACACGGAAAAATGAAGATTCGTGATTGTAACCAAGAGAGCCAGAGACAAAGTGAATGTGTGTGTGTGTGTGTGTGTGTGCGTGCGTGCGTGGTTGCGCGAGAGAAGAAAGGGCGGAGAGTGTGAATGAAACGAAGAAATATACATAGGACATATTTTTAGAGTATTTGACGACGAAACGGACGAGAGAGAAGAAAACGTAATGTTTATTATTAATATAAAACTATAGAGGATAATGCGGAATCGGCGAGAAAAGAAAGAGTAGAGGGCTGGAATTAAGAAACAAAGAGGAATGAAGGAATAGTGAAACGAAAAAAAAAAACGACTAAAAGGAGACGAATCGGGAAATAGAAACGCGTTGGACAGGGACATTGCTGATATATCGACGGTACTGGTTACGTTTCGGAAAGGTTTTGCCTGAAGCGAAATAAACTTTTACGATTTGGAACATTGGCGATTGGAACAAATGGTCGGTGTACAAGACGATTTCGATGCAGGGTAAAGCAATGAACGGAAACCAAGAGAATAATACGTACTATATTACAAAAAGAATGTCGCACGGGTATTTTACAACTCCACGTAAGACGGCAGTCCGGTGTTATCGGTCTCCTCGAAGTAGATTGGACCGAGGAAAGGGAAATGTATATTTTTGGAAAATTTCGAAATATATTTTTGTTCGAACGGTTCTGCACTTCTCCGTCGAGTCCAGAGACCGGAGAATCGTTCCTAAAACGAGCGCGAGCAGAAGTAGAGTTTGCATTTCTTTTAAAGTTAAGTCGGGATCTGAATAGTTTAATTTCGCATCGGATTTTCAGTGTGTTCGAGGGAAGGCAATTTTTATTGCGCGTTTCGATCGATGGATTTCACGGAATGTAAAGACACCGAAGAAAACGAACGACTCGGGGAAAACGAATACTGCTTTTTTCACGCTTTGGTAAAAAGTACGTTGCACGTTCTCACGTTGATACGTAATCGAGCAGTCGATTTCTCGAGATGACGCGATGATCGAGAACGATGTGTGATGTGTGTATATACCAATACGATATTGTATTGGCTCTTCGATGATATCTTGCATCGAAAGGATTAAACGCGTTACATGTTGCATGTACATATATTATATGTGTTTTGTGTGTATGTTTACGCGTGGACACTCGTACCGTTGAACCGTTGACGATGCGAATACGAAGAATAGAGCACGGAGGCAGTTACGGCCTTTCGTGTATCCGTTGATCTTCAATCGAGAATTGTATTTTTGTATTCGAAACGAGTGTATGATCTAGATTGTAATCGATCACACACCGTGTAAGCACAGAGCGCGTAACGCCGAGCCGATTCACCCTTTGAATCCATCTGTTCTCGTTCATCCATCTCTGTTTCGCGTGTCGAGTACGGCTGGACGAAAACAAGGCTGTTCAGACGCGATTCTATCTGTTCAAAAACGAATTTTTCAATTTTCATGTTTCTCTCGTTTCTTCCGCGTTACCTGGACAGATACGCCAAAATTCGTTCATGTACCTACTTTCAGAAAAACGACAAACCAATTGTTTTTATTACCTACGAAACGAAACAGTTCGGATGACGCGAATAACTTTAATCCTTGGTTGACAACTTCACGTTTTTTTGCAAAAGCTGAATAAAATTGCGGCAACAATTTCGAAGAAATGACAAGAATTCCTACAACAAGATTACCCGTAATCGTTAGGATTCAGAATTTTTTTGATGCGTGAAACCAACGTACAATTACTTGGAGCAGCTTTGCCAGAGGAGGGATTAAAGAGTAAATTAGCTTGTGCGTATTGTACGCGCTTTTCTCTTTCGTTCGATTCTGTTCCGAATGTACCGATCGTTTGGATTTTCCATCGATACGATGGCCATAAAATATGTATCAAAGAGAGAGCGAGAGAGCGAGAGAGAGCGAGAGGTAACCAGCCATTGTCCCATGCGTTCGTCGAACACAGAGATATTTTTTTCTTGCGTATGAATCGTGAAAACGACGGCGCATGCGTATATTTTCCTCAAAATTCCGAAAACGGAGGCTTCGCGATCGTCGACGAGAACCTCACTCACTGTCTCTCTCTCTCTCTCTCTCTCTCTCTCTCTCTCTCCCTCCCTCAATCACTCTGTCTCTTTTTCTCTCCGTTATATAACAGAGTACGAGCGAAAGAGAGAAAGAGAATTTTCGAGTTCGTCCGTCTATTTTGTTCACGAAAGGAACCGGAACGGACGGATTTTAATCGAATCCTGTTTTATTTTTCGGATATAAAATGAGCGACGAGGTGTACTGCGAGCAAAGTGTATTCCGCGTGTTCGATACACGATCGCGTAATTACGTGTACGATAGATTTGTAAATATAGGAGAGTACAATAATTGCCAAAATAATCGTGGCGTGGAGCGACAGAGTCTCGATCTTTAATTCCGGGTGTTGCGCCAGCCAGCACACAAATCTACAGGCCCCGACGAACGATTCGTTGATTTTTTCCGCAATTTCGCAGCTCACGGACGTCCTTGCGTGTCACACAACAAGGTTTTCATTGTATTATTATCCCGAAATCATTCGCCCTCCCGGTTGGTATGCGCGTTTGCGACAGCAAAGAAAAAACGCGATGGCGCGACGATGCGATCGCAGCGAACACTGCCTATTGCCATTTACTGCCAATCGATCAAAATACTCTTATACCGCGAGAATTGATCAGCTCTCTGATTACTGCCCCTTCTTATTTCATACTCAACGTGTTCATGAGTACATGTTCGCGAGGGTGAACATTACAAGGAACAATTTATACTACCTTCCATTTTAACGTCACGAATTTACCATCGATAAGATTCTTAAACAACGACCGTTTATGCATCCGATACCGAACTCGTACCGTATTTCGAGATTCGACCGATATCGTTAAATTCTCATCGAAACGTTCCACTATGAGAGGAACCTGTTCATGTGTATACAAGAAGTTCGACAATCCAAGATAATTTTTAAAACTACACAGACAGAAACCGGTTCTACGCCGTCGCGATCACGATTTAAATGGACGTCCGTTGATGATTAAAATGATCACTGGCGCAACACGAAGTACTATATAATAATTATATTTTAGTAAAAAGAATTTATGAATACCATACCTACTGATAGGATAATCAGCCACGTCAGCGGCCCAAACATGGTCTTACCTAATTACGGTGTAGTCTTTTTAAGAGAACCATAATTGCTAGTCTTTAACTCGCGACGCGCGCCCGTGTATTCGCGCGTTTCGCTGAAATATTATACCGAGTGGTTTATGAATCCCATATCGATGCAACTTTACCACTTTCACAAACAACTTGCGAAAAAGAAACGAATCGAATTACCGGAATCGTGTGTGTGTTCCGCGTAACAAATCGAGGCCACACTGTTTTTAACACAACAACACGATCGCTTTTTATCCTATTTTATTTTCGTAATTATTTATATCTTTCGCGACGTGGTCATGTTGAAACGTTCCACCCTCGTCGAGGATATTCTTATTGTTAAACTATATAATTTAATGAATCTGATTGAATGATCATTGAAATTATGCAAATTGCAAAGTGTTAGAGTTGTCTCGCCGTCATAATTATGCACATAATACATATGCGTGTGTATCAGGCGTAAATAACGAGTAAAAAGAAGAACGAATACAATGCCATTTTTATACTAATGATTACTATACAATTTCGGTTTTATCGATATCGATTGTCACTATTTTGGTTTACCACCATTTAATGGCAATCGACAATTAATTCTTGTTTATCGAATATCGCTATTAATTATAATTTTTGTTCGCGATCGCGAATTAACGTTGTATTGTGCGCTTCAATTTTCATACACATTACGTATATTAAAAAAAAAAAAAGAAAAAAAAAATATCAATTACTCTATAGGAGACGTAAGTGTATTTTGATATAGTGCACGATGCCGTGTTGGATGCGTGTATGTATGTTGTATGTATATGCGTGCAAGTGCGATACGGATTAATTCTACATGCGTCCGGCCTGAATCGTCGGGCATACGCAGAACGAACTTTACATTTGTATTGTAAATGTCGTGTCGTGTCGAGTCGAATTGAGTTGAGTTGAGTTGAGTTGAGTTGAGTTGACTTGAGTTGACGGTACGTCTGTTTTGCTCTCGTGCTTATTTTTAGCTAGTTCTCGCGTAGCCAGTTACTTTTCCGACGAGACGAACAATATCCGTACGACAGTTGCTCGATGAAAATTTCGTTTCGTCGATGGAAAAGCGATATCTAGAAAGAATCATGAAAACGGAATTGACTCGCGTCGCTCGCGCGATGCACGAACAAAAACACACACAGTCGAAACGTAAACGAAGTTGCGTAAACATTTCGATTCTAAGTTTAGCCCGGTAACGCATCAATTTTTGGTCGGCATTAGAACACGCGATGTTGTTCGTCGAAACATAACTCCTCCAGGAAGATGTAACACGCGTCTCATCGTCAGACAAGACTGTAAATAGAAAATAGCAGGCGTACGACGGACCTCCACCTTAAGGTTCCCACACTACTCCCGACGTTTAAGTGCCTAAAAACCGAAAGAAATCGCGTCTATCCTCCTCGAATTCTCGTTGTCTAGTTTCTAGAAGTGGGTAAGATACTATTTTGAAGGCTACAAGCTACAAGCTACGCGATAGAGACTTTCAACGACGCTGCGACAGACTTTCTCTTCGTCGTTTAGAAGCCACGAGTTTGATCTCGAATAAATAGTGACGTTAACGGACAGCAAAGAAGTATCGACGAATAGAAAACAGGATAACAGATAAAAAAAAAAAGAGTATATTTATGCGACAAGTTACAGAATAAAATGTTAACACGGATTAACCGTTTCAGCCCAAAAGTACATTCGCGGCGTTGTTTGCCACCTCCGATACGTACAATATTTCGTTGTATATTAAGCTGTTCCAATCTAGTATCGATTAACTACCAGAATTACGGTACTTTTTCAATTTTAGTCGGTTTAACGATCGAGTGTTTGAACCCAGTTCGAACAGCGGTATCGGACGCAATAGCACGGCTCTTGTCACTCCACATACATATACACATATATATTTGTCAGGTATACGTGTGTAAAAATGAAAAAAAGAAAAAAAAAAGACGAAATAGTATTTTATCTGACTGCTAGTTTCGCGTTACATTGAACGAAAATCGTTCGACACCCTCAACAGATCTCAGCACTCCGACGAAACGAACGTGGATCGTTTATTTTTTATTCGCGCATAAAAGTCCCGCTCGTTTCCATAGAGCGCGTTTTCGAATATCGCCGTTTCCAGAGTGCATCGAGGAATCGGGACTCACGACTATAACTCGTAAGAAGAACATTCAAAGTATAACTATATATAAATGTATATGTATAGGTACAGTACACCTGCGAGAACAGATGTACGAAAAGCGACAATTAAACCAGTTAGTACAACCAAAACGATCTTTCGCCCCTTAACCCAGTGATGATAATTGTACAAAGATACATAGAACCGATTCACCGTGCACCCTGCAAACGTGTCAGCGCGTTCGTGTATATTAATTATTACCAGATACGAATAAATGAAAAAAAAAGTGTGTGTGTATATATATATATATAT